AATTGCAATCGGAAATGTAGATTTGATGACAGATTTCTTACTGAAAACGTATACGCTAGTGCCTGCTTCAAATATACACGTTGAAAGTGTCAACTTGAAACATTTACGTAAACACATTTCAGTTATTACGTTGACGTACTAGAGAAATTAGCAAAAAATAGCAGTATTAGAACAAACTAGTAGAAATACTAGCAGAATTAGTGAAAACTAGAGAGAAATAGCGTTTATTATTATAAATTATTCGATCTGCAATTCACGGTTATTCCCTAGCGTGAGAACGTATGCAAAATGATTAAATCACACCAGAATCATTTAAGCGAAAATATATATTAAATGCCGTGACCGTATACAAGATTTCAGTTAAATTAAAATTCAGCCAGAAAATGAAACTTTATTTAATACGAAACAGGATATATTTCTACACTTCTGATGAAATTGAATGGGTGTTTTTGTTATAAAAAGGATCTTTTCTGGAAAATTGTTAAAACGAGATAAAATATTCATGTTTCAATTTTAAAAATGGAATGACTTTCAAGTTTAAAGTTTCAACCAAAAACTATGGATTTCATTCTACTGTAGTGCATTACACTGTAATATGTGCATAAACTACAATCACGATTATATATGAGTGAATATATTTGGTCGATGAAATGTGTCCAATTAGCAATTAGAAAAAAAAATGAAAAATAAATTCAACTCATTAAACAATAGATTCAGAACAGTAGAATACCATCTACGTACTTTCACAAAATTACTATTGAATAAAACCTGTTTCCTTTGTGATAATCTCAGTTTTTGTTTAAATCATGTCTTTATTATGTGTATATCAATCACATCGTGTTCATGGCAGACAATGAATCTCGCCGAATCATTTACTAAATGTTGAATTCAGTGCGCGTACACAAGATTCTAATTAAATTCGAATCCAATTAGAAGCAATACCATTGTTTGTTAACTTTAGCTAGTGTGGAATGTGTAATTTGGAAGACTCGGTGTTGTTGTTTTCTCTCTGCTGCTGACGAGACAGTTTAGTGTCAACGAACAGAAAATTTATTACGTTGAGCACGTTGGAATCCTTCAACAAAATTGATATACTTTCCTTGTAATGTTCTACGAGTAGTTTGGCAAAATGTTTGGGTCAACAATGCGAGCGTATACATTGCATTCGAATATGGAAATTCAGGGCAAGACAGCAAACAATCGCACATTTCGTTGGTGAACTCCAACATATTAACTGAATAGTCAGTTGCATTTGTTGTGCCAAACAATAATTCATATCACGTATAAATTGAAAATGCCGTAACGTCTATTAATTTATACTTTTGGCTAATCTTACACGAAGTGAATGAAACTGACAAAATATTACCATCTCGTTCCGATATCAAAACTAAATAGATTCCTTCAAATTGCACTGTTGTTTGTTCAGAGAAAGTGATATGATTATGTATGTATGTTTTTCGAAACTAAATAAACGAAGAATATATTTTTCGTAGAATATCCATCGTTATTTGCCTTGGTTTTCCGGTTCGCAACACATTCACATTCATACGCCGACATTTTACCAAAGTATATTGGAAGGGGGGAGGGGGTTTATTATGAATGAATATGTGCGGTTTGTTCTCATTTGATTCACAATTTTCTTGGCTACGTGAAAATTATTACACACGTATAAAACCGGCAACCGCCGTTCATGAGGGGGATTGTTTTGAAATTTAGATATGTATACATGTAAGTTATTATTCAATAACAATAATAACGAGATTTGTATTTAAGGCATTTCATATACATGCTGTGCAAATCCTTTATATACAATACCCAAACATTTATTACTTCTATTCTAATAGATAGGTTTCAATTCAATTTCAAAATGCTTATCGACTGTATTTTGAATAGCGGAAATATTCACTTAATTCAAGCAAACAATATGCATGCTCATATCTATATAAATAATGAAAATATACTACATTCTAAATCACTTTGAAGGGTAAATCCTCGATTTGATGTGTGGCCAAAATCGTAACGGTATCATAACGATGCGGATAACCTAGTTCAATCAACTAAAAACCGATTGAACATTCCTTTAGTAAATGAATATTAGACGTGAATATAACATTTAAGCGTTAAATTTGTATTGATCTAATCCATCAGATAAATGGCCAATTTATAATTGGCTACTTTAATGAGTATTACCTTCAATTCATTGCAGATTTTATCTTCCGATTTTACGTTCATCATAAAATTGGCCAGATGTTGCGTATTTTACTCAACTTAGGCCACTAATTAAAATACCTCCAACCATTTTCAGATAATAATAATTTGCAAATTGAAAATTAATGCGAGGTAATGTTTGTGTGAAAACAATAATCCATAGCTCGGGATTTTCGTATCGCAAATTATTTTGACGAGGGTCTTTTCGCTGTTACATTTCTATTAAATGACTCTCCAAACGAAATCTAATTGGAATGATGTCACATCAGATGCCATAAATATCTTATGGCGTTTATTTCTCATTTTATCACATCATTTAATAATCGGCAACAGCATTTGGAAAATGAATTAAACATTAAGCGGATTGTAAAGCAACGAAACTATCATGTAAACTGTCTTTTCTCGATGTTCTTATAAATAGCAAAGTTACTATCGAAATTATTGATTTTCTTCTAGCCGGAGTAACTTGGATCCATAAATAATGAGAAGAGAAAAAATGCATCGAAAATTGGAAACGGAAAACTTTTACACCACCACTTAGATTACGGGTGATGTACATCTTCGTATCTTTGCGTCAACAAATAATTTAAATCAAATTTATTGGCAAACAGATAAAATGGCGCAGATAACCCCGTAACAGAAAAGTAGATATGAATACAGTGCATGTTTGAATGAGAAAATCCAATGAAATAGAAAATTAATGAAGAAATAAAGAGGCATCGATATTGGCAAAAGACAAAGAAAAAGTTCGTGCACGCGCTTGCATTCTTTCATATGCCATAAAATCACCGCATCATTTTCAACTTCATAAAGAAACAATACCCCCCTCTGCCCCATCACATGTGAATTAGAATTGTGGGATTTTCATATACATTTCATGCCAACATTTTATTTTCCATTCGTATTCGCTGTTGGCCATCAAATGGTATTATGCCGTATGCGCTCTCAAACACACATTCATATCCATTAAAATTCCCTCAAACAAACTGTTTTGTGGGGGAGAATATTCTGAAAGAATGTGATGCATCGCAGCAACAACAAATAGAGCAATTTTTGTGCGAAGCGAATTAAAAGCAGTTGCTAAATTGCAATAAACGAACATGTGTGAATCACCAATTCCGATGGTGGAAAGGGGCAACGAAAACTAAGCAACGTCGAATGAATTTCATAAATTCATATTGGGCATTGTGAATGAATGGAAACCAAAAACAGCTATAGTGGCCGCCTCGACCCCATGGACAAGAGGCAATAAAGCAAGGCAGATAGAGATAAAGTAAATATTGTATATGTGTGTATATTTTAGTCAAACAAAGCGTTGGCATCGCAACGCGTACGCAAATAATAAAGTGCATTGTTGTGTTGTTAATTCAATGTCCAGACATCAACATCAATATAAAGTTTTTCTCATCTTTTTTTTTATTTTCCAAAATGTATCCCCCAGGCCGTCATGTTGGCCACTATTCCACAAACTATGGCGTTTTATTGTTTTAGTTTTTGTGGAATTACCACATTCGCACGCTGAAAAACCACTTTTTCCATTGTGTATATATGTGTGTGTGATGAATCGAGATTTACCGGTGTACCAAAGAGTAGCGCATCGATTTTGAATTTGATTGTGTTTTTACAATTTGTTCAACTTCCGCATTTGATTCAATTTAACATGATGCCTTTTTAAAAATGAATTCAAACCAGCTAGTTTCGGTGTGCATATGTTTCAATTTTGTACGTTTTACTTTTGATGTTCATAGTCGCGAGTTTTTTCGTTTTTATTAAAATCATTGCATATTTTTAAGCATTGCAGAATGTGAAACGCTTTAAAATGAAACTCTCCTTTAATCTCATTCCACATTTGGTGGATACATTGTTTTTCCAACAGTATTTAGATTTATTTAAAATTAACAATGCAAAAATATTCGTGAATTCATAATTGACGTTTCGCAGATCCCAACACATTTAATACAAATCCCCGAGACTCGATCCTGATGTTCAACATTTTACTGTCGGAATGTTGTGCGCGGCTGTTGTTATTTCGCCTTTTTTCTTCCGTATTTCCGTTATTTTTCATTTATCCTCAAGCCATTTACAAATTTTTCGCATGTAAAAACTCTGCCGATTTTACTGTTTTTCACTAAACAAATGAACATGACAAAGTAAATGCATTTATTTAGCTGTGTTCGTTGCTACACCGAAAAAACATGTGAATGTTATTTCAATGTTCGTATAAACACTGAATTAAAGTTGGGAATTTCAGATGAATACGAATTATAACGTACATCGTATATATTCCAGTTGAAATTGTTCCAAATCGTTTAAATATACAAAATGGGTTTTGTCTGTTTATTTTAAGTATCGCTTCAATTGTTTTTTTTTCATACGTTCTTTTGATTAGATTACATATTATATCAGAAATTTAGTGTATATTTTAACGAAAGTAAAACATAAGAATTCGCTTTCGAAATGGCACGTCCAGTCGTCCATACAGTTTATTATTTGTGATTCCTTTTTCGTTAGTCATCCGTACAAGAGCACAGCGCGAGTGAGTTTGCTTATTGCGTTGCTAAAAATAGAATATAATATAGTGAATAACAAAGTTCGCACGCACACACATCAATCCAGTTGCGCCGACCAAGACTGTATTGGTATGCTTACATTGTTCATGCTGTTCATACACGTCTCTTCCAGTGTCATTGTGTTTTCAATTCATCATATTCCAATGAAGACAGGCGTCTTTGGAACGGGAATCAGTATTATGTGTTACTTCAATGTGAATGCATACTTTTTGTATTGTTATTGTTCTTTAGCAAGTTATTTAGACGAATGAAATAAATTTTAATTTAAACGTCATGGCCACATTTCAAGCGAAGACCGATAGAAAGCAAATTTCGATCATATTGAATCTAATGAAGTTAGATTGTGTTGATTTGTATAAAAAAATTCATACGAAAAAATCGCAACTCAAACATGCTATTGAGCTGTATGAAGCGTTTATGACAGACGAAATAAATACACTTTTTCAGTGTAACAATAATTTCAGTGACATGGTGTTGAAACATCGAAAAAGATTTCAAACATTTATCGACGATACAATGAAATCGATTTTTGGTGATGGAACAAATCAAACGAATGACAAAATTGCCGACGATGATAACAATATTTATGTGATGTTCATATCGCTTCAAGAATGGTACATTCAAGGTTCCAAAGGTCAACAATTTTATTTTATGATTGACATCGACTCATTCAGCTACACAAAACTGGCGTCCCTAAATTTTGCATACACTTCACAAAAGGTAAGAACGGCACCTAAAGAGAGATAGAGAAAAAAGAGAGATTAGATGTTAAAAAGTCGTCAATTATTTCATTTTGCAGACAGACAATTCGAATAGAAATAAGAAGAACGGCATTGGAACTGATAAACGGGCCAGAATCATTGCAATCGATTTCAAGCACGAAACGTTCATTGCATTCAAAGCTGATGAGACGATTGATTGTGATAATTGCACAAAGAAGAACATCAAGCAAATACAACACTTCTTAAGTGAGTGTCTCTGTTTTTGTTTGTTTTGTTTTTGCTTTTAGTATAAACAAATTATGTATGACATTCACCATGTTCAACGATCAACGACATCTCTTGTAGATTTTATATAAACACACATTTACCTTTTTTTTTATATAGAAAAGAATCAATCGACCGGCATTATGCCAACAAAGTGTGTATTAATCTTGTTGAAGCGTCTTTTCTATGGCGTCGATCACATCGAATGTACCGAGAAAAATGTGCACACAAGCAATTTGACTGTCAGCTATAACTTTCAATTTACGGAAACAAGTAAAACGTCCCATATTCATGCGCAGAACCTAGCCGGAATGCAGGCATTGCAAACGCTTTGCGAAATTGAAAACAAATTTATTCGAACCAAACGAAATGATAATTATCCACAAGATTTTGCGTCCGAAATTCAAAAGTATGATAAATACTTGAATTGGATAAAACGTTTATTTTCGTTGACCTTTAAAATTCAATACTTTTCAGATTGATAATGAATGGATTTAAGACACATTGTTCCAAAGTACTTAATTTGGATAATAAATCAAATGTTTTGGCTGGTGTGATTCAGACCAAAAATGGAATCGATTTGACCACGGCCAGAGTTGTTGCATTGTCAACAGGAACGAAAAACATTGACGCTGATGAACTTTTCATCGCACATGATGGCAATTTGCCAGATACACACGCCGAAATAGTGGTTCGACGATGTTTAATGTACTACCTTTATGATCAAATGAATTTATTTCTGACACCAGGTACTTTTTTCATTCAAAATCCATTTGGATGTTGTTTAGAAATATTGTGAAGAGAAAAAAAATCATGAAAATATTTTGCATTTACAGAAACATCGTATCAATCGATTTTTGAGAAGTCACCACGAAGTTTGAAAATAAGGCTAAAGGATAATATTCGCTTTCATTTGTACATCAGCCAAGGTCCTTGCGGAGATGCAACATTTTTAGGTAAACATGGTAACGCTGCAGAACATCCAGATCGGTGAGTAAATTCTTTCTTTTATAGACCAACTTGGCTAAAACAATAATTAAAAAAAAATCGAAATAATACATTGCTTGATTTCAGTGATAAACTTCGTGCAAAGGTGGAAAAGAGCAAAGGTTACAAACTAATTTCAGATTTGGAAAATATGCAAAATGGAAGCGATTTACAGGTTTGTGTAATTTTCGTCGATATAAATTTTCCATGGAGCAATTAATTTGAATCGTAAATTTTCGCAGACTCAACCTCTGTATACAATGTCCTGTTCAGGTAAAATAATTTGTATAAAACAAGTGTTTTTATAAAATTAAATCTATTATTTTTATATAAAACAAATGTTCAGATAAAATTGCTCGTTGGAATGTGGTTGGTATTCAAGGTGCTTTGTTATCACGAATTATTGAACCGATTTATTTCGATTCAATTATCTTGGGCAAATATCAAGCAAGAGACCAAGTAAAACGGTAAATTTATTTTTGCGTGAAACACTTTTGAATGGCATGTGATTTGTGCCAACGTTATTTTGTTTTATGTTTCATTTTTCAGCTCATTTTATGGTCGAATCGAACATTCAATTGGCTACTTACCGCAATTTTATTACCATAATGAGCCGTACATTGCTTTCACCGTATCAGGCAATAGGATGGTGCACCACGGAGCCCCGTCGTGTTCATACAATTGGATCACCGGTTACAGTCATGTCGAAGAAGTTGAATCGAAAAGTGGAAAAGCGAAAAACGACACTGGCATTTCGCGGCTTTCAAAACGAAGTCTATTTCGTAAATTTTTGAACATAAAACGAAAATTGCCTGACATTGATCACACCGACACAGGCATTGCTGTTTATGAAAATGAAAAGTTCAAGGCTGAAGATTATCAGGTTATTGTTGCTTATCGAAGGCATTTATCAAGTGTTTCATTTTATGTATTTTCTTTTGGCACAGAATGCAAAAGATGCGTTAATTGATGCTTTCGACCGTTTAAACTTGGGAAACTGGAAACTGGCACAAAAGCCAATGGAAATCGACCGGGGAATTGAAGAAAGAGTTTAGGAGTAAAAACAAACTTTTCTATTTCATTACATTTTGACTAAAACAATTCATTTTTTATTTATACGAGGGTTGCTCCATAATTTTTTTTAAAAACATATATAACACAGTTGTTTTTTGTCGAAAATGGTTTTATTGTTTTTCAAAATATTCCCCGAGATGATCGATACACTTTTGCATTCGATGAAACCATTTGTCATAGCATTCGTGCCACTCCGAAACTGATATCTCCAAAACGTGTGTTTTGAACGCTTCAACTGCTTCTTCTGGTGTCGAAAATCGTTGACCACGTAGTTTTTTCTTCACGCTTGGGAACAAAAAAAAGTCATTGGGTGCCAGGTCAGGACTGTACGGTGGATGACCCATCAGTTCGATGTTTTGACCGGTCAAAAATCGAGTAGTTTGAAAAGATGTGTGAGAGCTCGCATTATCGTGATGAAGAATTATTTTGCGACGGTAGTTGTTTTTTCTTATTTCACCAAACACTTCGGGCAAACAAATGGTGGTATACCAATCAGAATTGACGGTCTTACGATCCTCTAGTGGAACGGTTGCCACATGACCACTTCTCCCGAAAAAACAGGCGACCATTCGCTTCGAAGTGCTTCTTGCTCGAACAATAACTTTCGTTGGGTTATCTTCATTTTGGAAGACCCATACAGTCGACTGCTGTTTCGTTTCGGGCTCATAGGCATATATCCACGATTCGTCACCAGTGACGATTTTATTAACGTCTTTTGAAGCACCACGATTGAATTTCTTGAGCATTTCTTTACACCAACTCACACGAGCCATTTTTTGTTCATCGGTCAATTTATGTGGGATCCAACGAGAGCAAATCTTTTTTACGGCTAAATGTTCATGCAAAATTGTATGTATGCTGTGGGATGAAATGCCCAAAGATGCCTCAATCTCACGGTAGGTCACATGACGATCTTCCATAATCAGTTTTCTGACAGCATCGATGTTTTGTGGCACAACAGCCGATTTTGGACGACCTGTATGAAACTCGTCTTTGAGCGAACTACGACCGCAACGGAATTCTCGGTACCAGTTATAAATTGTCTGAAGGGTTGGTGCTTCATTGCCAAAGGCCAAATGAAGTCGATCGAAACACTGTTGTTGAGATAATTTACTTCGAAAATCGTAGTAAATCATTTTACGAAAATCTTCACGTGTAAAATTCATTTTTTTGTTGAGTCGCAGTTTACCAGTCACTGTAAACAATACAAATAGCGTTCGTACGACAAAAGGTTCAGGGCACGAATACATACCAAAACATCAAACTTTACGAATATGACAATGGTTTACATCGGGCAACACTATAAGTACCATTTTAAAAAAAATTATGGAGCAACCTACGTAAACTGTTAATCAACGTCCAAAGTAAACATTGTCAATGTCCAAAACACACAAAATAGGAACAATTTCAAGCAATTTTTGCTCTTTCTATATCGTTTGACCATATTTTAGTAAAACTCATTTAAGTCTATGGCGCCGTAAGAATGTTCAATGTAAAAAAAGTACAAAGCCGAAGTGACTCATACACACTTGCACACACAGAATGTGTTTGCATTAAACAACAAGTTAAATTACATAATTAACTGCATAATATTTACAAGATAACGCCGCGTTGGTAAAAGAACACGGTCTATGCATAAATTTGTATTCATGCCTTTAATATAATTAGGCGAGGCATATAACTGGTGAAAAAAGGATTTTATGGCATTGTTAAATTAGCCCCTTTCACAACATTAACGTATTTTTTATAGCTAGAATACCAGTACAATCTATTTAAAAAATGTACAATTCCATAAGGCTCTTAAACATATCAAACGCTCTTAAAGCAAAATTCGTGTAAAAAATATTAAAATTTCATCTTATGGAATTTACCCATTCACTTTGATATTTTACCCAAAAAAACTATACTGTACCTTTCAAAAGTGCACGGAAATACATAGAAAAAGTCATTACCCATACCAAAACGTAAGTCACGTACAGTTAATGGCAAAAAAAGTTTTCGAATAAAAACAATGAAACTTTTTTCATTCAAAACGGAACTTGATCATGTTTTATTCTCTTCTAATATTTCAGAAATTATGGTGATAATATCACGAAAATTAACGAAAGTATGATAAAATTGTATGCAAGAAGTTTGGAGAGTAATATCATTTCAAATTGGCAGATTTGCTTAATCTTATTCTATAAAATATCTTCAAAAAAACCATCAAAATTTCGTCAAAGAAAAAACAAACAAATAGATTATAAAATACTCGTATGGAAACTAATAAACACGCAATATTAGATATACAATATATGCATTGTGCATTCAAACGTGCATGTTCAGTGAACGCTTTTCAGAATTGATCAAAATTTAGATTTTAATTTTGTAATTAAATCAAATGCATGACTAAAAAGAATTCAAAAGATAAACCAATAAACCTGTTCGATCTGTGTATCTGCGCGTGCACTAGTGTGTGTGTGCTTTGCACTTATAATGTAAAGTCTTGCGTTCAGTGAGAGCATGCATTATGAGTATGCTCATAGCAGTCACAACAAAACCCATTTACATAACATCCAGGCAGTGCGTCGACTAGTTGACACAACATTGCTAACATCTTGATGAGTTGGCGCGACAGCATTTTTCGCCTTTAAATAGCGAAGCTTCCAGAATAAATGTAAAGTGGCAAAATAAATGAGCTCAATGAAGCTCAATGCTGAAATTCCCATGAACAATCCAAGCAAGCCACCACAAAGTGCCAAGAAATCACCAAACGTGTATAATTCATTTAGTTTGATTGTCTTTAAAATAGTATTTTCAAAAGTAACAGCAGTCAATGAGTATTGTACGCTAAAATAGATACAGAGGAAAATTATTTGATGGTGAACTTTACTTACTTTCTCGCTATTTGAGCCTTATTAATAGTGAGTATGTCTAATTCATTTCGTTCGAGACGAAAATTGTATTTGATCGATATACACGCTTGTATGCAATTACATTTTTCACGGAATGCTTTTCCATTATTCGTGGTGAACAACTTCCATTGCGCTTCTTTCATACACTTAATCCTTGCTACTCCACAGATTTTTGTATTCCTGTCTCCTGCAACAACAACAAGTAAATATATAGAAGAAACTGGAGATCAACTAGAGAGAAAAGTGCAATTACTTTGTGAAATTCGCCAAACATTCAAATTTGCAGTTAATTCCCGCATACACTTTGAAGAAGCGCAATTGCCATTCACACATCCGCATCCATTTTAATATTGCACAATGTTTTAAACCGTTTCTATTCACTTGCATCTACGGCCACGTATAGTAACAAGTATGATAAAACAAGATTAAATCATTACATGCTTAATGGCTTCTATTGCATATTCTAGACAGAATTCAAGGTTGTAAAAAATGGAGACCAGATATCAAACGCTCTTTTAATTGAATTTTATTATCAATTTGTTTAGACACTATTTTTCAATCAATAAAATCAGCCCGCTGATTTGATGTTGGGAGCATTTTTATTCATGACAAAATGCTATAATTCAATACATGCATGCTTATGCAACGTGTGCGTATACATGTATTAATTCAAAAAACCATGCATTAAAATGATATTGCCAAAACAAATGAATGTAAACAAAAACAGTGAACAAATGAAAACTGTCGTACAACCGGATTTATATGTGTATATTTCATCTGCGCCATGATCTGCGCAATATTCATATAACAAAATTGTAATTGCGAATTTTTCTAAAACATAGATACATGTCTTTAACTTCAATAAAATATCATGAGAAATTTATTCAAATTTTGATTTTAGTTCGATTTATATGAATGTCAATTCTTAACTTTACCATCGAAAACAAATGTTTACATAAGAAAAATCATTTTTCTGCTGTCTTTTATCATTTACTTTCACAATACGATCTTAAGTATCTTTCATTCGGTCGAAAATGATTCGCCATTGAAAATTGGCATATGTGGTTCCATTGCTACTGTAGATATCTGCAAGAAAACCGGGGAATAGCTGAAGCAAAAATATTTCTGGCAAAATAAAATTCGAATGTAAATTCCATTCAACAGTATACAGAATATGCTTATAGAATATCCAATGAAGTTCAACATACGATAAATGCATACCAAATTCTGTTTTGATAGAATTTGAATCCATGCGCTTTGTTTCATATGTATTTTTTCACTCATTTCATAGACACAACTGAGCCGGAAAAACTGAAAGTTATGTATGTGCGCTGTTTTATGGATTTGTGAGCAACATACATTGTTTTATTACCAAGTGCATTTGTGTGTTTATCTCTAAAAAGATGGAACCAATTTTTCTCTATAAAAGAAATGTACAAAAATATAGACCATCGCAAAAGAAACACAGATGATTTTTGGCGGTGTGCTTTTAAAAGGGTGCGCCGCCTTTGACATCAATAACACAACGAAAAATAATCAACTAAACAGTGTCATTCAGCTTAATACAGACAAATAGACATAATATAATACATTTATGACGACGACTCCACTGCCAACAACGATGACTTGCTGCTGCTCTACTGTATACACTGTACATGTTTATAAAAAGAGAGGGAATGCGTCATCGTTCAAAGTGCATTTGTTTGGAAAATATTGATGTACAGAACATTTCCTTAAAAAACCAGTCCTATGTAGAATCTCCCCACTGAATAAACTCGTGTCTATTTCAAATGGGTATTATTTTTCTTTATCAAGGCTAAACCTCTTGCTACAAAGTATTTCTTTGTTATTGTTGTTGTTATCATATCATATCATGATAGTTTTGTGTTTTATTTCTAAATTATTCTCGAAGAGTATTTGTAATAGGCCCCTCAGTTTATCTAAATTGCATGATGCACAAACATAAAAATAAATAAAATTATATCGTCTTATATCGATAAAATTGATAGCTGTCATCAAAATGAGTTATTACAAAACAACTTAACCTTAAGTATGTATGCACTGAATATTATCACAATTCGTGCTGAATTAACACGTCAATAGTCCCGTTAGTGTTGCGAATTGAGGTTTCAATTTTCTTCCTTTTTACAACCAAAATTCCTTTGTTCGTTTAATTTTTACATTTAATCTCAAAATCATTAGTTCCAAAGATAGACTTTTAATACTAGGACATAGATTAATGTTGAACAAGAGACCACTTATAATACTAAATACAAAAATGGACTCTCAATTAAAAGTGAGTTAGCGGTTTCATTTCATTTAATTTTTATTTTCTCGATTAAAAGTTCAAGTATCTCGATAAAAGCCAAAACATGGACGATTCACTTTGTACAACGGTTACGTTTCAACTACCGGTGGAAGATGCACACATGCGCACGGTTTTTTGACCAGGGAGGTCAAATTGACTTTGGTCTCGAGGGGAAGGAGGGAGTATTTATATGGAAAAATTAAAATAACAATCTTGTATGAGAGAAACAAATCTCATATCTAATGGAATCGTAAAAACGCAAAATTTTCAATAATAAAAGAGTCTTGAAAATGAATGCAGTATAACTTATCGCAATTTTAGTTAAAATAGAAGGTAAAATTGAATAGCTCTCGAACTGCAATGAGCGCAATTGAAGAAACTTAAAGTAATGTTAATTTTATTCACTTTATCTATCGTGGTAATATCAAGAGTAATTTGAACTATATCAATAATGATGTCAATTTGCCAAATTACCTACAATTACATATTTAACTTCCAATATATTATTAGTTATATCAAGATATATGTATATGATATGGCAAGCAAATTTAAATTCATGCCTCTTTTTAATGTCTAATGACGAAGATATTTTAAAGCATATTAGTAGTATCAAATTTAGAAAGTGTTACATCTCCTGGTTCTGGCTTTGACTTTATTTATAAAGTGCATTTAAAAAGAACAGAAATGTTTTTTTTAGAATGAAGGGATGGTGATGTTTCTACTATGTTAAAATAATGTCCCGTTCCAATGAATATAACAATTGATTGGATTTGTTTCAGTGGGTGAACACATTCAATGATTCGAAGGCACATGTGATAGTTGAATATATTGCACATTCATTTTCGAAATCCTTAGAAAGCATTTTGCCTTCTTC